AATCTTATGCAATTAAACATATCCAAATGCCACCTAATCAGAGTCTGTCATAGTAAGAACCCTACGTCTTTTCAGTATAATGTATTTAACACTGAATTGGCCACTCTAACCAGCGTTCGCCACCTCGGAGTAATTATTGAAAACAAACTTTCATTCGACACTCACATAACACACATTAAAACTCCTTCGTCAAAAATGCTTGGATTCATAAAGCGTGCCAGTGAGCAATTCAAAAATCCCCAAACCTTACTACACCTCTATATGTATATCATTAGTTCTACCCCACCTTGAATCCAACATAAATTCTTACGTTTCTTCTCTTTCAAAACGGACACACCCATGAAATACAATGACCACAACTACAGTAGAATAATACCAAATTCAAAATCAACTCCCTTGAAGATAGACCTATTGCTGCTGACATTAGATTTGTATATAAAATTTTTAACACCTTAGTAGATTGTCCTGTCCTCCTAAACCAAATAAATTTTTTACGTACCCTCTCATGCAGCCAGACATTCCAATCTATTCTACCCTACTTCCTACACATCCAGATACACAACCACACAGATACAATAGCCAGAATATGCAATACAGCCAACAAATTTAATAACCAAATTGAATTTTTCTCCGAAACAATAAATAAAGTCAAAACTTCCATCTACCGGATACTGCGAGAGTAACACGTATATCTATATTTAATCTACTACAAATAGTGTCATACGATACTTTTTTCGTGTTAAACTTTTGTATAAATTGGGTCTTCCCGTTAATGGCAATAAATTAAATTAAATAAATTAAATTAAGTAATGTCTATCATTTTTTCTCCAAATGAGAAAAAGGGTATCTATACTCCGCTGGATGTTTCTTTCAATCGTTAATGTCACTTAGTGTAGTACTAAACATTAAAATTATTTATATCCAACATTTATGTAAAAGTTTTGCTTCCTATTAAAGTACCATTCAATGCAAACTATTTATTACACTCTTATTCTAATAGCGTAATGTTAATTAAAAAGTAAGAAACCGCAATTTGTTATTTTTTATAGGCAAATTTTTAAGGAAATGTTTGTAATACAACCAATCTTCTCTGCTTTTTAACTTCATTGAGTTGATTGAATTAGTTTCTAATTGTCAGATATTTAAATGTTTCCTACCAAAGCGTTGAACTTGCATCTCACTTTAACTTCAGTGTTTGTCGATAATAAGCCCACTTTTATATTTAACTTACGATTACAGAAGAAATTGTTACAATATGTTACTAGAGCTCTTGATATGTTTCACGATTGTAATTTGATCCTGTACCTAATTAAACTGTACACAGTAAAGATTCTATAAGAGTTTAATACTCGGTTTCGTTTCAAAACTTTCACGGTACATCGCGAATCGTTTCAATAACTCGCAAATCTATTGTTCGTCCCAAACCCCTACACTTGGAAACAAAAACGGGGGTGGAGGGAGGGGTCAATAAATTATGCGCTTAGCACGTTTCACGGCCTACCCTCCCCAATGGTGAAAATGAAATAGAAACTCTCACTAGGAACTTCTTATCCAACTTTCATCGAGTCTTTACTGTATTAACCCATCCAGGATGGAGTCCGTATACTTATACATACTCTAGTACCGTCACCAGTGGCCAAAATCTGTGCATTGTACGAAACCCTGATGGGCTACATGTATGCACTCTTGAATTAAAGATAGCTTTGAAAAAATCTCACAATTTGATTAATTAATAGAATATAGTAAGTTACATGACGGCAGATAATGTCAGTGTTACGAAAAGAAACGGGAAACTTGCGTCGTCACCAAAGAGTTAGTAAGTCCTGGACTGCCGATAGTTTGTTCTGTCTAAGGAATCTATTAATACGTTCAGAGCGGAGCCTATTTCGGCTGGACTTTCGTTCATACCGATTGTATTATTTCATGTATATTGGAATCTGTATTACACGACGGTCACCGGTGACAACCATGTGCCATAATGCAGCGGTTAAAGCGTTAAATATTCCCTCGTAGCTAATATGTTAACTGACATTGACCTGAGATATTGCGAGAAACATTTCGTAATCAGCTAGAAGGATGCTTTCCCACAGAAGATGGTAACTCGAAGTACTAATAATCTAGCTCCAAGTCGATGTGTGTCTGTCATCTTCGTGTGGTGACAGTGGATATGCCAAATGAGGAGGTCGATTCGGCAGCGTTCAGACGGGCGTATAGATCGCGAACAGAAACGTATCATCTGTCATTATAAATTCCGAAGGATGATCACGCGGTCGACCCTGCTAACCTCGTGCACGGCGCATCCATCGTTCGTTTCTTTGATGCTGGTCAGATCGAGTCTAGCGTTAAATTTAGTAGCACGAAAATCATAATCACGCGTGCCACGTGCGAGGAATTGATTAAAATAACGCGGACGCACGCGTAGCACACGTTCGCAGTTCCGTCGGAGTTAAAATTAAATCGATGTATTCACTGCGTAACCGACGGATTCTCGGTGATCGAATACGATCAACGTAATCGGTCGTCAGCCGTCGATCAGGGGGAATCGGCCATGAACAACGGATGACAAATTCTCGCCGATTCACAGGATGACCCGTAGAATGTTAATGCGAGTCTTATTGTTAGAAATTTGTCCTGGTGTCCCCTAGGCTGGACTACTCTTGAAATTTTACTTTGCGATGATTATTTTGTAGAAAAATTCAGTACCTTTGCATTTTCACGTTTTTTTAATTAATAAAAAACAATTTTCTTTTTACACGTTTGTAAAACTGTAAATATACGATAAATCGTAAATGTTTATGCTAAATCACATTTTTGTAGATTATTTTATATGGACGAATGCCATTGGGTGAGTCATAAATAATCAAGGCCAAAATCTTGAGAAAATTAATAATGACGAAATAGTCATAATGTTGTAAATACGTAAACTGAATGTATTTATCTTTTTTAATATGAACTGCAACTACGAAAACCAATAAATAGAGACATCATAAATTTAGAACAAGAAAAGTGAAGTTATTTATGAGTCAACCTACATAATAAATAGAACATTTCGTTATTAAAGGCTTCAAGTAAATTTCATTAATTTCATTTTATTGTATAGTGAATATTCGCATGCATTACAAATGTATTGTATTTATTTAATTGTTCCCCTTAGGATTATAATGTCTTCTACTTCCATATATTGTAGTATATCTTTCTTTACTCTCCTAACCTATCCTACATAGCTTCCCTTGCTTCATTCTTCCCCTTCTTTCACTCCAGTCCTTTCATTTTCTCATTTTCCCATTTTAAATCTATCGGTTCCTTATCCTATCTTATCTTTAATATATTTATACTTCATACATACATACATACATACAAATGTATAGAATCCCCAGATCAGATATTACACTCGCAATGACAACAGACAATACGTCTGTTTTATTAACAGGAGAAAAAAAAAGATTTTATATGTCATTCGACAATTGCAAACTGCTATTTAAACATTTGCCTTCATGGTGGAGTTCTAATATTCTTATACTACACGTGTATACGAATGTTAATAATAAAACATGTGCAGAAACAAAAGTGGATTGCACTACTAATAAATGTAATATACATTATACTACATAAATACTATGTATGTACACGCAAACACACACACACACACACACACACACATTTTCCACAAATTGAACTACAAAATAAAAGATCTACATGACCTTTGAGGTTGAACACAACAAATAAAAATGGTTAAAAAATGATAAATATTTCAAATGGAATAAAGAATAAGAAAATGTGTTTCAGAGTTTCCTATAACGACATAAAGAGAAATGGTTAAAATACAAAAATGGTAATAACTTGAAAATTTACACATCTTCACGATTAAAATTTATTTTACCCACTTCTACTTATGGCGTTATCTTAATTACGATTCAAATTGAAATTCTATTTTTATGTCACAGGTCAATCCTTTTGTAACGAAAGGTGCTGAGAAAAATAATATAACCTTATATTCAGTGGACAAGAAATACTGAAAGATAACTGTCGTGCAGATGAACACATACAGTTCAGTGATTCTCTAAAGTCGATAGGTAATTTCAAGTGGCAGGTATTTTCTTTATAAGTGTTGTTCTCGATGTTTTACAGAATTTTGCATTGCTCGTACAATTTTCAAGAAGTCTATATTACACATGAGATATTATTGTATCGAAAATAAACGCGTACTACCTGTACACAACATTTCATGAATTAAAGTGAAATGGCAAACGTGATAAACAGTTTCAGGTGAGTGTCATTTCAACTCTATTTTGTTTGTAGACTTTTCTCCGTTCGAATTCACAATTCATTTGATTTGGTCGGATTTGGGACTTTTCTTGATTTTTCCACGCTTTCCGTCGCAATCTAACAACATTGTGTTTCAATCTAACAGCATCATCCATACAATTCAAGCCGAAGTGTTTGATGTCGACACATTTGAAATTACTGAGAATTTTTTAATAATTGTACCGTATTTTCTATATTCTTTAACATGTCTTATCTCCTGTAAAAAAGAGTTTTGTTAATCAAGTAAATAAGTCGTTATATGGTAACAGTCAGAGTTTTTAGTGCGGCCTTGACGATTTCAAATTTTTCTCGTAAGTTTTTTCAACATCGTAGAAGGAAAAAGATTGGTACTATAAGACTGTTGTATTCGTATAATTTCATATACTTTCCTATATCTATCTGTTAGAAATAAATAAATCAATTGTACAACCAGATATACGAAGTTGGAGTCTACTTATGAAGTGTCAAATAGTGTTTCTCTGACTACACGTGTCTCAAAGCACCGAAAAAATCGAAGGTAAAACGCCACTGGATGATGAGCCAACAATGATCGAGGATTCATCGGTCTTTTAAGAGGTCAATGTCATCCGACGGCTGGCGAGACAGCATGAATCTTCTTAAACATGCAGACCGCATACAAGACTCTGTGTATATAATCCACCGCTGGTGCCATCGACAATCAGTCAACTCGAAAAGTAAAACCGAGTAACTTACTACAACTACAATGAAGGTAGCTTTTTTCATCATCACCATCTCATCAACACTCATAACTCGAACTTAAAGACAATTTGTAACTTATACTAATTATCAATTAGCACAGTATCTATTTCATAGTCTCGAGAAAACTATATTATTAAGACCACAGACGCTGCAAAACTAATTATAACTATTAATAAACGATGCGATAAAAAGCTATTGAATTATATAAGATTTTTCAACAGATCTTCATCGCTTTTGCTCTTCTCGCCGTGGTGACCGCAGAGCCACCTAGATACCGTCAACAACAAAGACAATACTATTTCGCTAGACAGCAAGAGGAACCCACTGCTGTCGCCGACGGTTCCTACCCACCATCCGGTTGGAGGCCAGCTGGACCAGCTTTTAACCTTCCTCAGAGACAATACGGAGCGCCCGTTGCTCCTCAGCAGCAATACGGAGCGCTCGCTGCTCCCCAGCAGCAATACGGAGTACCTGCTGCCCCTCAGAAACAATATAGCGGATCAGCCACTCCTCAGCAGCAGAAGTATGGAGCCCCGAGTGCATCTCAACAGCAATACGCAGCACCTATTGAGCGTCAAACGCAGTACGGAGAACCTAGCGAGCCTCAATCGCAGTACGGAGCGCCAGCGGTTCCTCAGCAACAATACGGAGCCCCGCAAGAAGCTACCACCACCGACATACCAAACAGTACGGAAGTGGAAAACGCCACCACAGTCGCCAGTTCCACCGAGTCTGAGGTGAGATCAGTTTTTGTTGCATCTTAACAGTGACAACAACTATCAATCTTACTTTAGTGTTTTTTTTTTTTTTTTTTTTTTTTTTTTTTTTTTTTTTGAAATTTTCGTGATAGATAGACATGCCTAAACTAATAAAATTTTATCCCTTTGGACTTCAATTAAAATGTTTGACATAGTTTTGTTTTTCTTTTTAATTGGAAGATTGTGAGAAATATTTTCCTGAATTTACTTTAAATTAACACACTTGTTGTGGGCGACAACAATTTGCAGAGCTGCGAGATCAAATTTACGTGTTTAAAAGAAACATTTCAGACGTTTCTGAAACAGTGATTAACTGGCTGACAATAAGTAATAATTATTAGCAGTTTTCCTATATTCTACATGAGAAAAGGCGAATTCACAATATGATAGTTAATATCACGATTTAAGGTATGAAATTCAGAGTCTTTAACCACAGAGTGGCTGAATTATTTACTAAATTATGGTGATGTTAATGTTATCAATATGCCCACTTAAACATTACAACAATGAACACAAACAAATAACGGTTCTTGAGAACATATCCGATGAATAATCTGTAGTAAATCTAGTAAAACGTTAAAACATTGTAGTAAAGCAATTAAGTCTGATTTTCATCGAAACATCGTATTATGTATTGTAGGAATTCTCATAGTCTTGTTTGCTCGAACAAGAAGAGGAGGAAAAAAAAGAGAACCGAAACGGTTGGCACGAGCTTACAGAACCGAAGGGTACCACAGAATTTTAACTCACGCCGATTCTCCGCGTCTTCTCTCGTTTTCGTTCCTGTCTGTCTCCTGTTGCTCTTATTTGGTCGTCTTAACGACATTAGTATTCAAGTCTTCGTTTACTTTCGATCGCTGTGCAGGCACGCGTGTGCCCCTACCAAATTTAAAGCCGGTGTGACACAATCCGTAATGCAGTCAACCGTGATTGGAGTCCTCGAGATCGTCCGCGAGGTTCGTAACTTCTTTCTTTTTCGAGAGGTTTGAAAAATCGAACGATGACTTAATTGCTCTCTTTTCCCTTCGTCTTTTCCTATTACTTTTCTTCGTTCGGACTAATGAAGCTCTTCGATCGTTGAAACTTTCTTTGAACTATTTTCCATTGGTAGCAGTAATAGGAAGAAATATTGTTTCAACGCCGATTATGGGATCGGTTTTTTTTATCGAAGAACTTTCGAAGTATTTTGCAAAATCTTTCGTGTCAATCTATTAGTTTGGAAGAAATTGCTGATCTTGTCTCACACACTTTGCCTACAACCATTCACCATCTCACAGCGAAGACTCTGGCACTACGCCACCTTTCTACAAAAGTCACGTGGTTTTGTTTTGACGAGGTCTATTGTCCAAGTGAATGAACTAGACACACTGCACTAGACTTATCACTTTAACTCATCGCTATTATCTAATATGTACTACCCATGTTACGTGTTCACCTGGCAGTGTGATATCGAGAGTTGTTTTCGAAAGTACATGCTTTCATGGCCCGGTTGCATGTAATTGTTATTGTCGCGGCATTCACGTGTAAGCTATGTCTTCTTGCAAAAATTATTCCATCAGTTTGCCAGCCTTGGAGGGTTAATTGTTATATCTATAGTTCATTCAACAACACCAGTGAATGAAAGCAAACAAAATATAAAAACAGCAACTCCAGTTATTGGCCGGCTGACGCTAGTCAACTGTCTCCATTTCTCATTCCACCTAAATGGTCATCACATGTCTGTCTACAGCTAGTGACTCGACTTGTGGAGTGTACCATATTAATGTATAGTACTGCTAACTGCAGCATCAACATTCCATTCGACCCCTGATGGAACTAACAGAAAGTCACAGCTCACACCCAAAAGACTCAATAGTAAGAACTACAAAAAAACTCAAGAATCACTGTCCGATAAATATTATATAAGAATTAATTTCCGCCTAATTCTTCAAACACTAATTTGATCGTGACATCTTTGCAGTCCGAGCCCGTAAACTCCGTGAACGAGCTCGACGACGAGGCAGTGGATGAACAGCAACCCCAACAATCTGGCGAATACTACATAGCTCTTCCCGACGGTCGTCTTCAGCGTGTGCAATATGTTAGCCGACAGGACGTCGAAGCCATGAAGTACTTTGCCAAAATTCAAGCCGAGAACGTGGAACCTCTCCGCGGGCCCATCTACGCTTACGCTCCTTTGCAGAAGCTGCAGATACTGCCGGCTGGATTGCAAGTGTCCGTGGCGCCGATCGCAGCAGCTGTCCCCGTAGAATCGAAACCGCAAAAACTCGAAATTAAGCCGGTCGCTACCCAAGTGCAATACCAGAACGATAACCCCGCAGCCGTGATCCCGTTGTCCGCTAACCCCGTGAGCTCCTCTTATACTACCTATACCACCAATTACCAAGTCCCCGCCAGCGAGTCCAGATACCTGCTGTCGGTACAGTAAGTTCAGAAAAAGACATTCCACGTACATACATATAATTTATGTATTTATGTATAAACTGATTTGTCTTGGCGAGGACCGCACTGGGTCTTAAGTTAATTCTTGCGAAGTCAATTGTGCACGTGCTGACAGTACGCGTTGAGTCAATTATGTAGGTTAAGGACGAAGTGACAATATATAAAGCGATTATCATTGAACACGTTTGTATGCTCGTTCGCCTTTCATGAAATCCTATTGCGGTACTGTTTTCAATATTTATAATTTTCTGTCGAGACAGTGTTCGTAATACAAATTGATGACAGTTTCTTCGAGGAAACTAAAGAGTTAAAGATTCGGTAATATAAAAGTACTAAATTCATTTGAAGATTTCGTTTAGTTTTTTCACATTGAAATAATTCATTTGCATGTTCAATTTTTGGAAACTCAGTTTCTTTTTATTGCATCTATGTATACGAACGTAATGATTGTATATTGCCATCGAAAACACCGTTCAACAAAACACCCCCAGTTTTCAAGAAATTTGGTTTTTAAGAAAAGTGCTAATTTTCAACTTTGAACATTTCCTGTGTTCAAGCAGTAATAGTTATTCGGTTGACTGTTGCGTCAAATTATTCTATAAACTCCCCCGAATAGAATGATATACAGGATGGGGCAATAACTATGTCCACTTTGAATATTGTCGTTATTTGTAATAATATGCAAAAATGTTATATACAAAACTTACACGGTGTAGAGGGACGCATATTGTGACACAAACATTTTCTGCCTTGGTGAAGGCATAGAGGAGATTTCAAGGTTATCTCTATTTTTTTTAATGGAATGCTATGTTTTTTTTATCGCGATGTGATAGTCGGTGTTTAGACGATTTCAGCGAGCTATCATTGAAAGTCATGCAAGGTCAAATATGGTAGTAAAATAAACTTTCTTACATTACAGGAGATGCTCGAAGTAGTGACCGTTTACGTCAATGCAAAGTTGCAATCTTCGTATCGCTGCTTCACGTGCATGTCTTATCGTTTCTGAACTTATCCTAGCACATGCTGTATTATTTCATAGACCCTTACTTTTACATAAACGAATGGTCTTGTAACATTGTTTATGTTGTGGCAATACATCGCGTATACCTAGAAATGTAAACATCTCATCAGTTCGTAACATTAACATGAATCGGTAGTCAGTCTCGGTTGATTGTTAAGTCAAGTAGCTGCGTGATCATCAAAATGAAGTTTTCTTTCGAAGAGCAAGAAGTGTTTATGATCCTCATTTATAGAGAAATGCGACAAAATTCAATAAGAGCTTAATCTTTGTATGCTGCACGATATCCAAATCGTACACATCCTTTGCACCGAATATTTCAAAGATTGTGCAAAAAAATTGAAAAAAAAAACCGGAAATTTCTGTACTTGTAAGAACAGTCGTCGTAAAAGAGCACATGATGAAAGAAATGAAAATGGTGTTCTTGCAGTTGTAGCTCATAACCTGCAGATTATGTAGTTCCCTACAGATTGATCATAAGTCGGTTATCAGTAGAAGGAGCGTGCTACGAATACTTGCACAGCATAAATTTCATCCATACCATATTACTCTTCATGAAAAGTTACATGGTACGGATTTTATGAATCGTGTCGCATTGTGTCAGTGGGCTCTACACAAAATACAAATCGATGAAAAATTTTTTTCTTCAATACTATTCACCGATGAAGCTACGTTTACTAAACATGGAAATTTCAATTTGCATAGTATGCAGTATTAGAGTATCGATAATCCACACTGGTTACGACAAGCTGAGCATCGACGACAATGGTCAGTTGGTCAACTTGTGGTGTGGAATCGTTGGTGATCAAATAATCGGACCGCATTTTATCGATGCAAATGTTACTGACGAACGATATGCACACTTTATACGAAGTAGATTGGAGGACTTCATTAGAAAATGAACCACTAAACGTTCGCCAAATGATGTGGCTACAGCACGACCGGGTGTCCAGCACGTTATGCTCAGAGAGTAAGAGATGCACTGAACGAACTTTACTTAAACAAATGGACAGGACGCGGAGGATTAGTTTCTTGACCACCTTGTTCTCCAGATTTAACCCCGTTAGATTTTTTTTTCTCTGGGGAGCATTGAAAAATGCTGTTTATCAAGAACTACCCATTACACCAGAATATATGAAACAACGGATAATTGCAGCATCTGCTAGAATAAGTTCAGAAACGATAAGACATGCACGTGATGCAGCGATACGAAGATTGCAACTTTGCATTGACGCAAACAGTCACCACTTCGAGCATATCCTGTAATGTAAGAAAGTTTATTTTACTACCGTATTTGTCCTTCCATGACTTTCAATGATAGCTCGGTGAAGTCGTCTCAACACCGACTATCACATGGCGATAAAAAAACATAGCATTCCATTAAAAAAAATAGAGATAACCTTGAAATCTCCCCAAGCCTTCGCTAAGGCAGAAAATGTTTGTGTCACAATATGCGTCCCTCTACACCGTGTAAGTTTTGTATATAACATTTTTGCATATTATTACAAATAACGACAATATTCAAAGTGGACATAGTTATTGCCCCATCCTGTATATCATTCTATTCGGGAGAGTTTATAGAATAATTTGACGCAACAGTCAACCGAATAACTATTACTGTTTGAACACAGAAAATGTTCAAAGTTGAAAATTTTCACGTTTCTTAAAAATCAGATTTCTCGAAAACTGAAGGTGCTAGCGAAACACCGTTTATAGGTTCGTATTCAGGGCACAAAGATCTATGTATAAGAAACCGCTATTGAATGTTAGAAGCCCACATGGCTGTTAAAGAATGGAATTTTTATTAATATTGTATTATTCATTCTATTGCTACTGACTGAGATTAACTGTGAAGGCACAGTTACAGTTTTTTGAAATAGAACAAAAGTTGTATTTTCCTTATTGATATAATGAAATAAATCTGTAGTATAATATTTTCATACTGTGTATTAGTTTTCATTTATATCTCTTAAAGACTCTTGCCCTCCTTGAATGGGAATCATGCAGAAGTCATATTCGCGTTATATTACAAGAGAACTCGAAATTTTATAATACGACATGATTTACGAAAGTCGAGGTATATCCTACGAGGTCGAGTCCTAGACTGTGATTAATACACCCGTCGTGTTGTTTATGCGAAATGTTCCTTTATTTAAAACGTTACTTTGATTTGGTCCATTGAGAAAGAATAATACTTAAATATAATACTGGTCAACAAAATATAACTTTTTGTGTGTCTTCGAACATCCAATTACTGATTCTTATAGATTCGTCTGTGCTGAATACGAATCCGTAAAAATTTTTTTACTATCACCCTCAGTTTCCGAAAAATTTAATTTTTAAAAATAATGCAAATTTTCAACTTTAAACATTTCCCGTGTTCAAACATTAATAGTTATTCAGTTCATTGTTACGTCAAATTATTCTGTAAACTCTCCCGAATAAAATGGTATACGTTGTTACTGCATTATCAACATTTAAACATGTTTAAACAACGATCAAAGGGAAAAGGACACCCGAAATGCACCAATTTTTACAGATATTTTTCAATTTATTTAAAAAAATAAGGGTGCAGGACATAATCTGACTGCGTTAGCGGATAGAGTAAACATGTTTCGTCGGAAATCGTGAACAGAAATGGTAAGACACGTTTTCTGTTCAATACAATGACCGAAATAGTATAGTAAAACCTGCGACGCTGACAGTGGTTTGACTGTCACTCGACTGTCGCCTTTGAGTACCATTGTCAGCGTTGCAGGTTTTACTAAACTATTTCGCTCACTGTATTGAACACGAAACGTAATGTTTTTCAAAAATCAAATTTCTCGGAAGCTGAGGGTGATGATAAAAAACTGTTGACAGGTTCGTGTTCAACACAAAAAAATGTATAGGAATCAGTATAATTGTTCTTTGGAAGAAAAATCATGTTGACCAGTGATAATTAGAATGAAAAATATAGTAGTATTCGGATCGATGAATCCAATAATTTTAATAGAAGCAGCCACTCATCAAATCATCATTGTGTTTAAAAAAATCTTTGTAACGACAAAATTCCTACTTTTGTCAATATGTAACACAAACAATTTAACTAATTAGTTGTCTTCGTGTCACGTGAACTGACAAATATAAAATATCAAATGCATAGATTATTTTATTTTAATTTAATCGACCAATTAATATACTTTTTCTATCATTATATTATCTAAGAACCTTGGTTAATGTCTTTATGCAAAAGATATAAATTAGAAGCATCTTATCTAAAACCTGAATACCTGCATGCCGCCATACCCTACAAGTATGAAGTCAAAAGTTCAACAAAATAAAAAATCTTCGTTAAACACTTAATTAATGGACTTTTGTTTGTACAAATACCTACGTAACAAGAGAATAAAATGTAGTAACGTAATCAGTATGGTATTTAGGTTGCCATCTAACTGTACGAAAAAAAAAAAAAAAAAATAAAAACAGAGGTATATTTCTACTTATTTTTTAACACATTAAAGCGAAACTAATAAAAACCGACAAGCATATAATTTATTTTCAATATAATAGTCTTTTCAGTAAAGATAGTTGCCTGAAATGTGTAAATAAACATACCGGTACAAAACTTGGAATGTCTTTTAATTTATTAATTATTAAATTTTCTATATTGAACGACCTTCTTTGGCATACCTACATAATTACAATATTCATGCGTACTATTAATCCGAACAAACGTTGCAAATATTCGATTTATTTTATTACAGTTCTTGTAATTACGTAGTGAACTTTTGTTTTCACGATCATGTAACCTGAAAACCTGAATCGTCTCGTTTAGGCGAATTTATAGATGAAGGTGTTCAAATGATTCAATTCTATTGAACCATCCACGATTACAACAAACATGCAGAGAAAAAATCTCTAGAAGTACACTAGAAAATGTATATCTATATGTTATTCGTCAAACTATGGGACATCTATATGAGCGAAAATGATCAACAGTTCGAACTCTTTTTATGATAAAACTTTGATTGTAAATATCTCAATAAATACTCACCTATGTATTATGCCTTATAGTCATTTGTTCATTTTACTTCCGTAGAGAAACTTTATGGGGTGTTCCATTTAAAAATATCAAGCTGACCTTCAGAACTTTATGTGTAAACAATGTA